AGGCTGTGTGGCCTTGGAGGATACTTATATTTCATTGTGATCATAACTTCGCTTATAAACTGCAAGCAGATGTTCTAAGGTTGAGTAAGAAAGGTAGTTCACAAAGAAAACTAATTACATGACTGTGTTGTTGATCAGTAATCAATGTGTTAATGATTTCTGATGCTTAAGAAAAAGAGGGCAGTGATGCTCTGATCTCAGATTGTCTTTTATGTAGTAATGGCAGAATAGACTGTGGTAATCAACACCTGTTAGAACAAGATAGAACTAGCTGACAGACATTAGTCTAGAGAATTCCAGAATGAATGATTCCCTGTCTCTGGGACATTTGTGATTTCAGCTTTCATCAGACTCCTGACAGCTCCCCAGATCTGAACTTTGAAATACCATTCCAACCCATGGTGCTTCAGCCAAGAGAAAATACTGCACGCCTTGTGTTTTAGTACACTGCAGACTGTGGTAGAACACACCACTGATTTAGAACACTCGCACAAGATAGTTTGTTAACCCCTGAAGGGTTAGGGTACATGGGGTAGTTGTTGCCTCTAACCGAAAGGAATTTTTGGTCAGACTTTCATGTATAACCACAAATGTAACTTTTCCCCTAAGAGAGCCTTAAGGAGCAGGTAGGCTTAGGGTAACATCCAGCTAATTATTAATGTTTGGAAAAATTAAGCTCTGTTGGGTGGAAGGGAAGTAGTATCAATTTTAAGTATGGGAAACATAGTCCTTGTGATGCTCACAACATTTATCCTGGTTTTCCTAGTTACCTTCTGAAGGTGCTTTAGTAGCTCGTTAGCCCCATGTCAGTGGTTGAAGAATACTACTCTCCTGTTCTGGTGACTGATGCCCCTGAGCTAAAATTCTGTTTTTAAGTCAGGATAAATGTTTCAGCCAAGGTTTGCATCTGTAACTGAACCAGGATACTTATGTACAAGACTAAGGAAATTGGTGGAAAAGCCTTTCTCCTGCTGGGATATAAACCCTGATAAAAAGTGCTATGGTCAGGGTTTCTTAAACAAGTCTCTTTCTTCATACCCTAAGCTGCAACCCTAAAAATATATAAATCTGTTGATGCTTGTGGTCAGACAAAAGGAGAAACACACAAAGGTGAAAGCTCAGTTTGTTGTGTTTGCTTCTGAAGATCCTCAGTTGTTGGGCAAAAAAAGCTAATTCATGCTGCATTGCCCAGAACCTGCTAGGAGGCAAGAGCTAACTCAGGGATGGGCTGGATCTTCTGGCTACCCTAATAGATGTTGCTGCCTTCTGGACTGAACCAGTGCTTCCACTTTCAATGATGTTCCTAACCCTTCCCCTCACATTAATGTTATTAAAAAGTGTCCTGAAAGTTAACTTCTTCACTCCCAGCTGGTCAGGTGCTGACAGAACACAGCTGGAATTTTACTTATGCCCCACTCAGTGCTAGATAAGTGCCTTGTCCACTTTGAAATACTCCTTTGAATTACAGTCTGGTTTGTGGTTCTGTTGAAGATGGCAGGGAGGATGGAACTGGAAAGGAGCTTAGAGATTCTCATCCTTCTTTGGTCTTAAACCAGGATCATCCACAGATAAATGATTTTGTCAGAATAATTAAGCTCTCAGCATTAAGGAACCTAAGGAACCTCCCCTGGTATTCTGGCTATAGCATTGAAGTAAGTGTAGTTTGATGATGTTAGAGGTGTTCTGAGGAGTGAGGTTTGGTAAATTAAATTTTACATTAGGTAGGTGATAAAGTGTACTTCAGACCCCACTTCTCTGTATTTAAGAAAACTAATCCAAGTTTTATTGCACTGTAAGCTCTAATAAAGAGGGTTAGAAGATTCAGTAAGCGACTGAAACTGTGTTCATTTGGTATTAGAAGTACAGCTAAGGTTTTGTGTTTGGTTAAACTGTGGGGAAAAAAAGTTGATTAATATTTGTATAACCTGTGTGGTGTTCGCTGTCATGGGAACAATGGGAGTTGCTAAAAATCTCTAATAACTGGAGGTCATAGTCTATCAACTCCATCTTCAGGGCCAGCAACTGTCCCAATTGCTCAGCTGAATTCTAAAATCTGTTTTGTGAGAAGCCTCTCCAAGTCTCAGAATACAACTTTATAATGATGATTGCAAGGGCAGTGATGCCATTTGGGCTTGACCTGCAGTTTTCTGGCACTACATGTGATTGCCAAGAAAGGGTCAGCCAGGCTCAGTCTCTGCTGTTCCTTTCCTTCCAGAAGGTATCAGGGACACTAGTAAGTGCTGTGGTGGTTGTGTGCTTGGGGCTTCTGTTCTGCTGTTTAAGCAAAGCATTGGAGTCTGAGTGTTTGAGTTTAAGCAAAGCATGGAGTCTCTCAGCAGAAGTTGGGATTTTTCCTAGTCATCTTGGGGGATTTTCTTCAGGCTGGGTGGTTTCCCTGTTGGGGTTCAGTGTGACCCCACAAGTGGCTGTGCTGGCAGGAGGCAGAGGGCACTGCAGGGCTGCAGAGGCAGTGGTGCCTGCCAGACTGGCACTTCTGAAACCTTACCTGCAGTGCAGAACAGTATCCGACATACTGGAGAAGAGGGGAAGGTGTTTCTCTTCCCTGTGGTACCCTTAATAGTTTGTACTGTTTTTATTAAGCTTTGTGCTCTCTTAAAACATTGGGGGTTTGAGTAGCATGATTTAACAAATGGGTTTGGTCTGTTTTACCCTGTAAAAGTGACAGAGGTTTCTTTTCAGAAAAGTTAAATCCAAGAAGAGAAAACAAACAGAGCAAAAGTGAGTTTTAAACACTGGCAGAGCAGGATGATGCCTTGTTGGAAGCAAGATGTAGGACCCTCAGAGTTAAGTGAGTGCCTTAGACCCTGCAGAGGAACACTTAGCTGTCTCTTTCTATTTCACAGTGAGAGCTACTGGTTTTGTACATACTCTGTTAATGTCAAACCTTAAAGTATGTGGATCACAGTCATAAAATTAGAATATAATGAGTGGAACAAATGCATTTCTGCTGTGGAGTGACAGGGGGAATGGGCAGGAAGGCACCATTGTCCAAATCCTTTTCTCTGTGTGAGAATCAAGGTCAGCTCAAGGTCTACCTTGGCTGGTGCAGCTTGGAGGAATTTTTATTAGGTGCAGAGGATTTTTGGGAGCTCAGTATAATAGTGAGGCTGACCTAAACTGAACTCAAGAAGTAGCAAGTCAAGATATTTCAGCTGTTAGACTTCAGTACTGTATATTTTGGTGGCTGAATTCTGGCACAGACATTTGACATCCTCTGTGCTCGTCTGATAGGCTTTTGTGAGAAGAAGGGCCAGATGTGTTGGTGTTTGTTTTTCTGGAATGAGGATTCTGGATATATGAAGCATTAATAGTCTGTCATAACTTACCATGACTCTGTGTCAGGCAGCAAAATATTTGTGGTGCAGTGAACAGTTAACTGAATGTTTGTTAGCTCTCCAGCTGTAGCACAGTGAAGAGCTCTAGTAATGTTTTGTGAAGGGGATGAAGCCTTAAATTGCATGAAGTGTATAAACACTTAGCTGAACACATCCATTTTAAAGACACCTTGTTTTGGGGGGGATTCTCAGCTTACAGAGAAGTGAAACCTCTATTCAAAGCTTTAGCTTGGAATCTTTGTTCCCTGAATGGCTATGACAAAAATGAACTGAGGGTTGACAATTTGAGGGATGGAAAATATATGAAAGAAAATTATATTTTGAGACAATAATCACTTTAAATTACTCGGTTTGGAGTGTGCAGTTTCAGAGCATAGACTTGCAGTGATGCACAACTGTCAGCACTAACAGAAGACCATTTTTAGTGAAGTCTTCTCTGATTTCACCCAAATTGGTGAAGCTCTTGGGAAACCATAAAGAACGTGTTTAACTCTTTGTTAGCCTTCTCATAGCTGATTTTTTTCACCTGTCAAAGTACTCATTTACAGGCAGACAACAATCCAGGAACCTTTTAGTGTCATGTGTTTTGGCTTTGTATTTTTAAAGAATTCATTGGGGAGTTTTCTGGATCACTTAAAGGAAAATAAATATTCGGAGTCACATAAAGGAAAATATTTATGCTAACATAGAGACTAAGGGTGGCTGTGGTGGTGAAAAGCAGCTCCATTCCATAGAGAAGGCTGTCAGTTCCAGTTGCCTGGAAATGCAGTGCAGTCCAGGCTGATACTAATTAGCATCTGTGAGCACACAAAGCAGCAGAATGTGGAAATACATATTATCATGGGCTTGCAAGGAAATAATGCTGTTTATGTATGCTGAGAATTTATAAATGGTTTGGATTCTGTTAAATGACCTACTCTATTTGTGTTTGGGCTGGCACTATAGGGTAGTTACTAACATTGCTGTTGTACCTTTCCCTCCCTCCCTTCTCCTGTAATTCCTAAGTGTGTTTCAGTTGAAATGTGACTTTATTTTGCAGTTTGTGCCATCGTCTCCCATCCGCATTCCCAGCAGTCGACTCCACCAAATCAAACAGGTAACCACAGGTCCTGATTTCCTTTAATTTTAAGTTTTTTATAGGTGGCTCTGGGTTTTTTGCAGCTTATGTGTGATGTCCTTCAAATGGCTGTAGATTTTATTTTCAGTCTGCCTGCAGAGTTCCACATTTCATGGAGCATATTATAGTGAGAAGAAGATTTGAGGAGCAAGAGAAATCTTAAAATGGACATTTTAGAAAGGAAACCTTTAATGTAAACCCTCAGGGTAAAGTTTCACCAAGCTTTTGGCAGTAGTGCCAGCATAAATATTCAGGGCCAATAACAAAGTGTTCCTTAACTTGTGTTGGCACAAGGCTTTTGTGCAGCCAGAAAATGAGCAGGATAAGGAAGGACTCTGGCTGAAAAATAGTTTGCACTCTTCTGGCTTGGGCTATTTTTCATCTGTATAATTTTCTTCTCCAGATCGCTGTACTTGTGCCGTCCCAGCACAGACAGGGGGGAAGGGCACCAGAGCAAACACTTGGGAAGGGGGAGGTGTGGGGAATATCTGAGCAGGATTAAATAGCTCTGCTCCCAGCCAGCAGACTGTAGTCTGAGGACTCCAGCTTTGAAATCAACAAGCTCAAATTCTTGTGGCTCCTTCATTTTATATCTCCCCTTTTTGACAGTAGAATGTTTATAACATTAGCTTGAAGATACTTGAGTTTTTTTATATGGTTTTTTTTTTTAGTTTGCTAGTTTTCAGTGGATAGGCTTCATTTTTACAGTTAAGATGATTTAATGCTTCAGACAGCATTTTTAGGCTGTGGAGTCTGAAGTGGTGGAAGGCACTTCTGTTTCCCACCTCAGATATTTGAGGTGCATGCACAGTAATCCTGAGGAAAAGAACTTTTTGCTTTCATTATGTAAATAATTTACTTGCATAAAGAGACTCTGAAGCACTTGGGTCAGTTTTGGAGCTGTTTTTATCAATATAAAAAAGCTTAGGATTAATATATAAATATCACAGGATCATAAATTAGTTTGGGTTGGAAAGGACCTTTAAAGGTCATCTGGTCCAACCCCTGCAGTGAACAGGGAGATACAGTGAGAAGTATGCTGAGAGCCAGGGGGTGAACTGCTGTGGCTGTTTTACATGAAGCAAATGGAATTTGTTTGAGAATTCTTCTGTATTCACACTTGTGCCCCACATGGACTGAAGGAAACAGTGTAATTTCCTAACCTGTGTCTGATCATTAAACTTACAAGTTGGCGTTCCCTGTCCTGTGTACTTGCTGGCTCAGGTGGGAACCTGTGTGACCTATTTCTGAACTCTTTCAAATCTGAGCAAATCATCACACAGGTGAAATGTGTTAAACTCTTCCTACTTGTGAGGGAGATTGTGAAGATGTTTAGTTGAACTGTATTAAGGAATCTACTGGTTCACCCAGCAGACTGGAGAGCATTCAGTTATCTTCAAGGAATGTCTCCCTAAGAGGAGGTTGAGTCAAGCTGGGGCTTGGTGTTAAACTAAACATTATTTGATCCATTTTAATAATATTTTAAGGGGTTTTTTTTTAGGAAAAAAACCTACTACATTGCAAAGTCATTGTGTGCAGTGTATTGCAAATGAGATGCTGACAAGTGTCTGGTTAGTCATTAATCCATACAGTAAGGTAAGAATCCAGCCATGCTCTGGAGGATTATCTGTACTGGTATCCACTTTGTGAAATGATGTTATGCAAGGCTGCATAAAGACACTCCAGCACATGCAGGATGTTTGGTTCCTATTATCATGGGTTGGTTTTGTAACTACCTCTTGGGTTATAATGAAAATGGAGCTGCTTGAGAAAACAGCCAACTCACATCAGCACTGCTGAGGTGATGGTGTCTCATCCTACATCTGTTCCCTCATCCTCAGCTCCTCACTCCTTTTCATGTAGTGAGAACTTCAGGTTAGTGTTGCTCAACTGAGTTAAATTTTCTGCATGCCAGAGTGAAATGAAACCAGAGCTTTTCTGATTTGGTGTAGCAAAGTGCTTTCTTTTAATCTTACTTCTTCATCTGCTGATCTTTCTTTCAGGAAGAAGGAATGAATTTGCTGAACAGAGAAACAGTCCATGAAAGGTGAGCACTAGGGCAAACCCCAGCACTGACTGCAGTTGTCTGTGGGCCTGGGACAATGCATCTCTTTTCTTCTTTATAGAGAAGTGCAAGTAGCAATGCAGATGAGCCACTCATGGGAGGAGAGCTTGAGCCTGGTAATGCTTTAATTTGTGTTTCTATCATCAGTCTCAGCATACTAGAGACTCTCATGTCAACATTTCCTTTGATAGCTTGACCTACAATTAAGGTGTTAGTGTAGATCTGCTTTTGAGCAGCAATTTTTCGCACTAACGAGGCCTAGAATTATCAGTTGTTGAGGTCACATGTGGGTTCTTTGGGTATGGCAAGAGGAAATTGCATGGAATCTGCCTGTTCTGATTGTCCTCCATGCTCTGATACCGTGTAATGTTCAAGGCTTTCTTGTTGTTAAGCAGAAACTCATAAATGGCTACCTAAAAATTACTGATATGCTGGAGGATGACTTTGGAATTCCACCCCAGTCATCCCTTTCCATATTCAGGTTCTTGCCCATGGGATTAACTCTATGTACTGTTTACAGAGCGACAATGATTTTGAAAAATCATTATCACCAAAGCAAGTAGACTTTGTTCCAGTTTCTCCAGCTCCTTCACCTACAAGAGGGATAGGGAAGGTGAGCAAAATGTGGTAATAATGGTTTTGTCTTAAGCAATACTAAATAAATTCAGCTAAATCACTAGCAGAAGATTCAGCCACCTGCTGCTTTCTACCTCAGCTGCAAACAAGAAACTAGAGAGTCAATAAAACCCCCTAAAACCCCAAACCAGAACATACCAGTTAGCAGCTGCACATCATGTGGATGTGCATTTCTGTGGAGCGTTCAGCTGTTAATCTGTGGTTAATAAAAAATGAGTGAGTCTGTTTAAGCAGAGTACAGTGAAATAACTGCAGGAGAAGGGAATCTGTCCAATTTGTAAATGTCTCTTCCTCAGTAACAACAAGTGCTGTCTCAGTATACTCAGCCACAGTGAGTGGTTGCTGACATTGGTACTGGGTTGCTCATTTCTCTGCAGTTAGTTAGCATCAGTTGTTGCCACGTGGGTGTGATGCAGTATTTGTGAGTAAATAACACAAACTGTTTTCCTCTCAGCAATGTTTCTCACCATCTTTGCAAAGTCTGGTGAGTAGCAGTGGGTTACCTCCAAGTCCCAGCCCCAGTCCGACAAGGAGATTTTCAAGGTAAGAACCAGAGCATATCCATGATAGAAAATTGGCAGAGTTTGTTCCCAGTTGTGAAGGACCAGAATTTGTTACATTCATCAATGATTTCTGAGCACAAATACAACTTTATATATTTGTGTAAAGTTTAGATTATACTGTGCTCTAGAGTATTTGTCAAAATCCTCATGTCATAACATTGGGAAAGTGGCTGCAGTGTGGCATCTGTCATCTCAGGGAGTCTATTGCTCTCAATCACATCTTGAGGGATTGAATTGAATCATAAGGGAAGGAAGCTCAGCAGATTTAGGGTTCGTTACTGGCTCAGGTTTTAGTTGCACTGGATGTTGTGTTGAGTGATGTGGGCACACAATTAAATTTTGCTAGGCCCTCGCAGTTCAGCAAAGCACTGCCTGTCAGCTGAGATCCAGTTAGTGCCTAGATGTGAGCTCTGAGACTGCCCCAGTTGTGAAGTAATGTGATTACACTTTTTCTGTTACGGTCTGAGCTTCCTGGGCTTTCTTCAGCCGGAAAAAAAAAGACTTGTTTTGGATAAGCTGGTTTAATACCTATTTTCTTAGGGGTTTTTTCACTTAGTAGTTTGTTTTCTGAGTGTCTTTTGGCTCTTTACATGTTTTCAACCTTCCTTTTTAATGGTGATCTCAGTGTAGCACAATTCTTCTTTTAACAGGAGAAGTCAGAGTCCAATTAACTGCATCCGACCGAGTGTTCTTGGATCAATGAAAAGGAAAGGTACAGTACTTGGGTTTGGGTAATGTAATAGGCCAAAGTGTTAAGTTGTGTAGTAACTCTATAGTGTCCCTCATGGCTCTGTTCACTTGGCTGATGCTTCAGAAAGTGACTAGAAATAGGTGTTATTGATGACCAAATAAACAGAATTGTTTGTAGGGGTAAAACAGGCAAATAATTAAATTAGTTTTTACTATTCATAAAGCCAAGAGTTGTTCTGTTCTCAAGTCTCTCCATTGCTGCAGTCATATAGATGTGGTAAAAAAACTGATGTAACTTGTTCTCTGCTCTGGTGGAGCTGCTCAGTGAACTGATACCTGGATAAACTGAAGCAAAAAGCTTTTTCTTTACTACTGAAGAATAAATATCTGATATCTAAACCTCAGCTCATAACTCACTAAACTTTACTGAAGCTTGGACTGAAATGTTTCCAGGAAATAGACAGTCCTTAAAATTTCAGCAGCTAAGTTTTATGCTTTATACAAAGTAATTTATAGTTTCGAAGTTTGAACCTCTGTGCTGTTTGCTCTGTAGAAGTAATTGAAAGCAGATTTTTGTTTAAATGAGCAGTAATTTTCATCACTCCTTATCTCTTCCCAAAGGTGTGACAGAGATGGAAGATCATCCAAAACGGTTATTCCAAGGATCCACCAACATGCTTAGCCCTGAAGGTGCACATCAGGCCGACCTAGGGGGATGGTAAATGCTCTGCTGTTTGTTGTCCCTGTCGTCAGAAGTATTGCAGGTCTTTTGAATTCTAGCAGTGATTATGCCTGAAGTGTTTTGTGTTTTTTTTAACACAGACATCTTGTAATTTTACAGCGTTGAAATTCCACAGTAGCCAGGCAGCAATGTTCACTATGGTTTTACAATCTCTAGGCCTAACATCCCTCACCTGTTTGGGAGCTGAGCATGTCTAGGCAAAGATCCCTCATGGCTGGCAGGTTTTGGAGTCTAGTTTCAAGTGGCAATCAAATGTGAATGCTGATGCTTTTGTGTGAATTGGGTTTTGCTTTTTTTCCCTTGCTCTTAGTCACAGTGCAACATGAGTGAGTCTGTCCCTCCCTGGACTTGTAATATCAAGAGATTTTGATCTAGTGTTTTAGTCAAGAGGTTAATAATCCATAAGGTGTCCCCACACTACTGTCAAGACAGGGTTGTTCACAGTGTTTCTGTCCTTTGTGCCTCTCAGCTGATGTACAGAGTTGTGCACAGGCTTGGGGCACATTGCAGTGGCAATAGCAAAGTACATGTTTTAAAGGCACTTGAAAAACATTTGCACACCTTGTTCACAGTGCACAGCAGTGAGGGTTCAGCTGCTGCAGCTTGGTTTAGGAGATGGTAGTTCATAAAGAGTCATGTTGCTGCTATCACTGGTGATAGATCAGCTGTAGTTACAGGCTTGTGTCATTGAAATATGTAGTACAGTGGAGTAAGTACAGTTTGTGTTGGCTCTCCCTGGCTGTGTGCTGGCCCAGAGCCTGGGGAGATGGGGCAGAGCTGGCAGGGGTTGCTCAGCCTGGGGCCTCTGCCTGTGCCCCACTTCTGGGCGAGCAGAGCAGGCAATGGGCAGCACATTCTGTGTGTTTGGAAGTGACTGCAGGGAGTGTAGCTACAGATACATTTCAGATCTCAGAGCTTACTGGTCCCTTGGAGATGTACAGTTGTTTCTAGGATGGCTTTATGATGAGCAAAGCTGTTGTGGGAGCCTGAGCAGAGAGTGCCTCATTTCTCATGTCCTCATTCCTCTGTTGCCAGTCTGTCGTCACATGCCCTGGATGACAACAGGAGCAGTGCAGGTTCCTCCTGTGACTCCCCAGCAGAAGTTGGCACCAGCACAGACTCTCCAGTCTCACTCTCTGACTCCAGATCTCCATTTTTACCAGTAGATCTTACGGCCAAGTTACCAATCAACTGAGGAGCAGGAGCAGCAGGAGTCTGCTGATGGACACCAGGAAACAGGCTGGATACCACCGAGACTTTCTGTTGTGTGTAACTGATTCTGTTCCTCATAGGAACTTCCAGGAATGTCATTATTTCTAGAAAACTTCCAGAATGGTTCCTTGAGGAGGAATTCACGTTTCTAGTGACTTGTATGACATTTACTAAGATCCAGCAAGCGGTTGGATTGCAGACACATTGGATGCTCACACCAGTAAGGAAGCTGTGGATCTGCAGTGGGTATTGTCTCATCAGCATGAGCTACAAACTCTGTATGTGCATCCTTGTGGAACACTTGGCCTGCCAGCAGCCTGTGTCCTCCCTCATGTAACCTGGTGCTTGTGTAGGAGCAGATAACTGTCACGTTTGTCCTCAGTCTGAAACCAATGAGCAGCTTACTCATTGTTTTTATTCCCAGAGTGTTAGATTTTTTTTTTTTCCTGTTTCATATGAAAGGGAGAATATTTGGGGGGGGAATTGATTACTGTGTTCTGTTATGATTGGCTCTTAATCAATTCTGTGTTCCAATGGATGTCAGAAGAACAAGTTGGTGAATTGTCAGCTTAAATTTCCATGTTGGATTTCATTCATGCTCATGACTGCTGTTGTGACTAAATCTGTATCAGGTGTGGAACATTCTTCTGGGGTTTGGTATTATTTTCTTCCCCATTTGGATGATGTATGGGAGTGCTAGGTGCTCTGTTAAAGATTTTCTGTTAGGGAAAAGTTGTGATAATGTTTGGAGCAAAACATGAAATCCTGAGGTTTTGGTATTTAGTGCTTCAGAAATGTGTTATTTTAGCAGTCACTATTTGTCTTCATATGTGACTTTTGTTGGACAAATACAGTGAGGAATCTTGAATGGCTTTTCACAGGCTGAGGCAAACAAATATGTTTAATCTGTGTTTAATCTGATGTTGCTTCCTCAAACAATGACATCAAGTCACTTCTGCTGTTGAAAACTTCAGATGCTGATTGGCAGCCTAGAATCTGGTAACATCTGAGGAGTAGTGGGTTGAGGCATCTTGATCTCAACTCTGAAATTCCCCAAACAGGAGGAGAAGTTTGCAAACCCCTGGAGACAGCTGTTAGGGACTCTGCAGTGGCAACCTCACTTGGGCTGTTGGGCTCCTGCTGTGCAGCTGAACCTCCCCAGCTGTGTCCCTGTTGTACATGTCTGTGCATCTGTGCTGTGTGGTTTCAAACCTCCTCTCCAGAGAGGTTAGTAATGAAGCAAAACGTTTTATTTTTAAACACTAACTCTTTGTAATGTGTCATAAAGTGAGAAAAGTATGGAAACTTCCTCGAGCAGGAGAGAAACCTGCCCTGAACTCTGCTGTGCAAGATGCACATGGATGAAGCCTTGACTGACAGCAGCCTTCCAAATCAGGCATGAATGACTTGGAGTGCAGAGACCTGCTGCCCTGAGGGCCAGTGGCCTGTTCCATGTGTCTTTACTGTAGAAAGGAAATAGAATGTGTTTCATAGTCTGACTCTGTTCTAGTAAGATATAGCAATGGTTTACTTCTGGTTTCATTCCTCTTAATTTATTGTGCTAGTCCCTTGCTGGCTGCAGTTCCTGGTGGGATCTGGCTGCCCTTTGGCCCCACGTGGGCAGACACGTGTAGGGGCTGTTTGCTCTGTCCAATAAGGCAAAGTTTGGTTTCACAGTTTCAGGTATGTGCCAAAGAGTTGCTGTGCATTCACTCTGCTGTGGTGAGAGCAAGACTCTGCTTTAAAAAAATCTTGCTTCTTTCATAAGGATGAACCTCCTGGTGTCTCTTCAGCCTCTGTTAAGGGACACATCAGTATGAGGTTTGATGGCTGTGCGTGGGTCAGCTCGTCTCTTTTCTGTGGAATATTTATGCTATTTTTCAAATAAGTGCCAATAAATGGAAAAAGAAATGTGTTTTGCTGTTTCTGCACTTTGATAGAGAACCATATTCTTGTCTGCATCTGGGATTAAATGCTTTCTTTTAAAATCAGAATATCTATTGTAATTTACTTCCACACAGTCTAGTTTACGTGTAAGTTGGCCTCAAGCACTGCAGCAGGTCTGTGTTCTTAGTGCAGTGCTGTCATACAGGGCTGTGACAACTGTAGGGATAAAGCAGAATAAACCCAAACATTTTCAAATACTCTAATAGCTACTTGTGTCCCTAGTTTATAGCTAGAGGAGGACGTGGTGGAATGGTTTGGAAGATGAGTGCTACTGCTGGCTGATGGACAGTGCTGAGGCTCTTGGGAAGCAGTGGAGAATCTTGGTGGTTTGCCTTAATAAGGCAGTTAATCATGGAATCACAGCATGGTTTGGGTTGGAAGGGAACTGAAAGCTCATCTAGTTCCAACCCCCTGCCCTGGGCAGGGACACCTTCACTAGACCAGATTGCTCAGAGCCATATCCAACCTGGCCTTGGACACTTCCAGTGGTGGAGCATCCTCAACTTCTCGGGGCCAATTAATGCTCTTGGAGGAGAGTGAAATAGTTACTTATCTGCAGCCATCCCTTTCCCTGTCTTGGCAAAGCAGAAATTGCTTTGAAGTTGTGGAAAAGCATCTCAGTGTTTTGTCTCCATGTCACCAGGAAAGCTGCAGCTTCATGCCCTGAAGTCAGGACACACATGGAGTTTTTTACAACTGAAACTAAACCTTAAGTTTTTGATTCAAATTATCCTGCAAGATATGTATCTGGATTCAGGGAATCAGGGAGTTACACAATGCACATGACCAACCCTGTACTCATGCAGTAACTTACGCTGTTAGCGTTGCCTCTGAGTTCCCTGTTTATTCCTTACCAATGGATGTTGAAGCTGTGCTGGATTCAGTGTCACAGAGCTGTTGGATAAGGTGTTCCTCAGCTGAGTTTGTTACCAGTGTCTGTGCCTTTGTCTTTCTCTGAGGAGAAATGAGCATTTTTCTCAGCTCAGGCCATACTGGAAGTATTGTGGTCACGTAAAAAGAAGTACACTTGTGTTCAGCACTTGATTGCTCTGGTTGGAAACTATCCTGTAGGATTTGTTGGCAGTTAAATCAGGTCTTGGGCCGCTGTGTCTTCTGTGACAACTGATCAGTGTTTTTCTTCCTTCCACCTTCTCCAGAGTGACACAGTTGCTGCAGGAACGTGGCTAACTGTGCCAGTGCTCAGGGGGCTGTATTTTTGGAATGAGCAGTTGAGTGGTTGCTGCATTTAGCAGAGGGATAGATGCTTCATGCTGGAAGAGAGGTACAAATGCCAGGAAAAATGAGCCTGTGCCTCAGCCAGATTGACTTGCAGGGTCTCCTGTGTGCTGTCAGCAGGGCGGGTGAGCCGAGGGCTCAGCTGAACAGCTGCTCAGGGTCCTCCTGAGATTACTCTAAGAACTTAATCCTAAACTCTTTCTTTTCACCTTTCTGCAGAAAACTTGAGGGTAAATGATCACCAACCCATACAGACAAAACAGGTCTCCAAAGCCTGGTGAGACAGAGATACTGTGATTTATAGATGTGGTTCCAGTCCCAGTGCTGTGTCTGAGTCCAGCCCTGCTACTGTGATGATTTGCCAGTGAAGTGACTGAAGGCAGGAGGGACCTGCAGCACTCCCTGAGCTTGAGAACAGCTTGTGCCTCTCTTAGCAGTCATCGTTTCAGAAATGTTCACTTTCTGCTGTTGTATTCCTGCATATGTTGGAGTTGTAACTCATTTACTTAAAATAGAGATCATCAGGAGTCATAATTAAACTGTGTGAGCTCTTCCTATCCTGCTTTCAGCAACCTTTCTCATCTCCAACTGGCAGATGGAGTTTAAGTTGATCCCTCTTCTCCTGGAAGCTCCGAGTTAAAATATTTGTAAATGCAATTGAATGTTTACAGCTACAGTACAGTAATTAAAACCTTACTGACACAGAGAGGAGTGCCTGGCAAGAGCCCTTTTCAGTAGGTGGATGCAAAACTTGTCACCTCTTGTGTTTCCTAAGAGTTTGTCTTGGGTGATAATTTGTTTTACCTGTACCAGTGGAGCCTTCCCATTTCTGTACATCTGGTGTGAACATCCTTGTTTGATAAACTCCAGAGCAAAGAATCATAGAACCAACCAGGTTGGAAAAGACCTCCAAGATCACCAAGTCCAATCCTACTATGGTCACTAGACCATGGCACTAAGTGCCACATCCAGTCTCATCCTGAAAACCTCCAGGGATGGTGAATCCACCACCTCCCTGGGCAGCACATTCCAATGCCTGATCACTCTCTCCATAAAAATCTCTTCCTAATATCCAACCTAAACCTCCCCTGGCAGAGCTTGAGTCTGTGCCCTCTTGTCCTGCTGCTGGTTGCCTGGGAGAAGAGACCAACCCCCACCTGACTCCAGCCTCCTGTCAGGGAGTTGCAGAGGGCGATAAGGTCTCCTCCGAGGGAGGGGTGGGATTGCTTCCCTCGTTGGGGTTTAGTGGTAGAAGCATGAGAGAGGAAGGGAAAAAAATAAACCACTGCAGGAGAATAACCTTGTCTGACTTTCAGTCACTGGCTCAGGAGCAGAAATTTCAGAAGGGGGGGGGAGGAGTCGAGTGTGTATAAACCAAAACCAAACACGGCCTCGACATGCCTCCCTGCTGGCTCCCCTGTGTCTCTCAAGGAACTGCTGAGACTTCCCCAATGCCACAAAGATTCCTCAAGACAAGTCTGGCATTTATCAAGGTTAAAGTTCTTCTGATAGTTTAGTTTCTTATTCTGCTTGCTTCATAAGAGCCTTGGCAAATGCTTGTTAGTTAAGATTTCCTTCCATGATAAGTAACTGTATGTGTTTAGAATATTTCTGGATATCAGCCTGAGTAGGAAATGCTGCTCGAGCAGGAGCAGGTTTTGCTGCAGGTACTAAATGTGGTTCTCGTGGTTACTCTTTTGCCCTTGTGTGGAGAAAAATCAGACCCATGACGTGCAGAGCACACGTCGGGTTTGGGGCACAGAAATCGGGTTCTGTGTTGTCTTTCAAGGCAGTTTAAATAATTTTGCACTGAAATGGCTGCAAGAAGCCTCCTGCTAAAAATACATCAACATCCTTTCGGTTGAAGTGCATTCACTTCAGCAGTCGGTTTCGATTTCGGAGATTCCTGGCAGATTCCTGAGGGAAAGACACTAATGGGTTTGGTGCTGTTGATGGAACACAGGATTCCAGAGCCTTACTGCAGTTTTATTTGTCTCTTGATGGTGGTTTCTTGTTTGTCAAAGCATATGTTCCTCTCACACTCTGATGTTCATACCTCAGGCCACCAAGTGTCTGCAGTTTGCTAGAGAACACTCTCATTCTGCTATAGTAAATCCTATTTTGCTATTGTAAATTTTATTGCTAATTTTCTCTCACTGGAAACGTGGATTTAAGTTCCATCACAGGGAGCCTATTGCTCAGGTAGCCCTTCTTACCAGCCTTTTCCCTCACAGTGAGGAGATCACAGTGCTGCTGTAATCATGGTTGTGCTCTTGCTTAAATGATTCCTTTGCAGAGCCTCTGCTGTCTCAAAGACTAGTGCAATTACTTTGCATGTGAATCCACATGATATTGTTAGTGAGGTTGTAGAGCTTTGCAAATTTTTAAGAGTTGATGTGCATTAGTTACAGTTCATTAGCCAAAGTAAACAGCTAGCTAGTGTACAGTGGAGAGCTTCTACAGAAGGCAAAAATAGACTCAAAAGTGAGTGCATCCCCTTACTCAGCTTTGGTTGTGATGCCGTGTGTGTCGCCTGCCTGTGTTCATCTTTGCAGGTTGCACTTGTTCCCTAGGCTCCTTTCATTCACATTTCATTACCTGTAAATGGCTCTTGCTGACTGTAATGATGGTTTCCCAACCCTCACCAGCTTCTGTGGAGCAGTAACAAGTGAGTGATATGCTGCTGGCTGCAGTGTACTTCACTCTCCTTCAGTGGTTTCAGCCTTAATTTAATTTCCTCAGGCAGCACGTTCTGCCTGCAGGGCACAGGCTGCAGCACCATTATCTTTGGCTGTTTCTCCTCCAGCTCTAGTGGGAGATGGTGCTTTCCCTGCACTGCCAGGAGGAGCTGAGTGCCCTGTTCCACAGGGACACAGGAGGGAATCTCTTTTCTAAAGCCATTCTCTGGATGCACCTGGCAGGAGGATCAGCACTGGGATTGCTCAGCCCTGGATGCTTTGTGTGGCAGATTGTGTCTGTTCCCTTGCTGCTGCTTTTTTTTCTGCCAGGATTGTCTCATGCAAGGTCAGAAGGCAAAGCACCTTGAGCTGCTCTGCTCCAGGAACTTGACCTGGCAGAGAAGGTGATTTAAGGTTTGAGATTTTTTTTTACGACCTGTACATCTTGATCCCTGAATTCTGAGGTTGCCCTGGATCACCATGGGCCCTATGAAGGAGGTATCACTTGGCACCTGAGAACTCTCTTTCCTGTAGACAAAGCATTCCTGGATCTGGTTTACTGGCTCTGGCAAGTTCCGTTCCACAGTCTTGTCCTAGCAGCAGGATGGATTACCAATGGGTGAGATTCACACTCCTGACAAAGGGAAGGGGTGATGGAACTTGGCATTTATGGGGAAAGTTGTACAAGAAAAATGAGGCATCTCAAATGTACATTGACAAATGAGGACTAAAATATGGTGAATTATTGCCAAACCCATTTGGCAGCTTCTTTCCAGTTTAGGCTTGTTGGTTATCAGATACTTCCTACGTGTGAACATAAGACAAAATAGCATACAATTGGCTTTGAGACTTCTTTACTAGTTGATTGAAGGAAGGATTTCTCTGCTTTGTTGTTGAAGGCACAGATCTGTGCATGGGCTTCTCTTGGAGCTGCTGCAAATGCCCCTGCAGAGCTGTTTGAGCAGGAGCAGTGACTGTTCCCATCGGAGAGCACACTCTTTTCTTCCTGGCTCATGTTTTGAGACATTACATCAGCTCAGCATCTCCCTTTGCAGGGACTGATCTGTTTCCAGGTGGTCACCATGTGAGGCTGATGGAGCTGCTCTCTGGTCTCAGGAGCTCCATCAGCTGCAATCCCTGGTGGAATGAACTGATTCCGAGAGCACTGTCCATCCCTGGAGCTCTGAGGCAGTGACACTGTGTCTGTTGTGGGGTTCAAGCATCCTGTGAATCACTCCCGTAGAGAGATTAGGGTTGTTTGAGCATTTTCCAACCCAGACAAGTGCAAACACCTAGAGAAGATCATGTACCAAGCCTAGAGCGACTGGGAGTGACGCTCCCAAGAGCGATCTCGGCAGCATTCCCATTTCCTGCTGCCAGCACAGCTCGTTTGAGATACCAGTGCCACAGCAAGTGCTGGGTAAACACCAGGATTGTTTCTGCTGGATGATCTCAAAGCCCTCCCAACTCTGCTGAAAATACTTGTCCATTGCAAGGAAATGACTGTTTGTTTGTGTAAGGAGTCAGGAATGGGAAATGACGTGAACTGTTTTTCCTGGTGCTTATAAGAGGCAAATTCACTGTCTTGGGTCTGATTTCCAAAGACATTCAGTGTTTTCTGAAACTCTGTTAAGTAGCAGAGGTGTGTGTGCATGCACACAGAAATGTATGTATGCATATAAACCAGGGAATGTCTTACACCTGTTGTGTATCCACCTGGGACAATGTTAGCAGTGTCTCCTATGACCATGACATGATTTGATCTATTGCCCCTCACAGTGCTGAACTGAAACTGTCCTGGAATCAGTATGTGTTTCTGCAGTGTGCTGCAACCGCCCTGAAGTAGAAAGAAGTCAGAATTCACACTTGTCATCCTTACTTCACCCAAGCACCAGTTTTATCTGCATCTGCTGAGTTACACTGTGCATTTAATCTTGTTTTATCTGTCTTGTGCCTCACTTGCCCTTGAAAAGGAAATAATAGAATCATAGAATCTAAGGGTTGGAAGGGACCTTACAGATCATCTAGTCCCACCCCTCCCTGCCAGAGGCAGGGACACCTCCTCACTAGATCAGGTTGCACAAGGCCTCATCCAGCCTGGAATGGTCCAATGTTTTAGGCTTTTTGGATGGTGATAACTTTTTGTTACTGATTTCTTTGCTCAAGGTGTTTTTCTAGACCAATCATCATCTTTAGATTCCTTGGAAACAAACGCTGGCAGTCTGGGTCCTGTGATCTCCTTCCCCACTCCCAAGCACGTGGGACTGAGGCAGCTGCAGGTGTCACTCGGTTACAGTGACTTTGAGTTCTTACAGGTGAGATTGTCTCTTCTGCAATCCTGGCAAAACATGATCCTGGTCCATGTCTGGAACACCAGGATATGGGGGAAAAAGAAAGTAGGTCTGTGTTGGGCTCTTTTAATCAGCTTGGGCACAGTGCAATGTTTAGCCTCGCTGTTAGGTGCTAAGATAAGGTACCACGTGGCAGATTTTTTTCTCCACAACTTCTGTTCAATTCCCTAGCCCTTCCCCAAGCTGCAGCAGGTTAAACCACCTCGTGAAAACCAGAATTCCCACT